TTCATGCCTAAAATGGGACTAGAATTCATTGTCTCCTGGTGATTGGCCCAAAGTCACCCAGTCAGCTTTCATGTCTAAGGTAGCCCTAGAACTCACAGACTCTTAGTGATTGACCCAAAGTCAGTCAGCTTTCATGCCTAAGACAGGACTAGAATTCACCGTCTCCTGGTGATTGACCCAAAGTCACCCAAAAATGTGCGTTTACAAATGTCACCCAGTCAGCTTTCATGCCTATGGTGGGACTAGAACTCACCGCCACTTAGTGATTGGCCCAAAGTCACCCAGCTGGCTTATACATTGAAGATGGAACTAGAATTCACACTTTCCTGCTTTCCAACCTGGTACCTTAGACCAGGAGTCCCCAAACTTGGCAGCTTTAAGACTTGTGGACTTCAACTCCCAGAATTCCTCAGTCAGCATTGCTGAGTAATTCTGGGAGGCTGAGGAATTCTGGGACTTGAAGTCCACAAGTCTTAAAAGTGGCCAGGTTTGAAGAGACCTGGCCTAGGCTCCCTAGGTGCTCCCTAGGTGGCTCAGTGGCTAAGATGCTGAGCTTGTCGATCAGAAATAGGTTGGCGGTTCGAATCCCTCATATAGGTCTCCTGTGTGAGGAGGGGGTTGGACTAAATGACCTCCAAGGTTCCTTCCAACTCTGTTACTGTTATTTCGAGAGGTCAATATACTATCAGCCCATGAGTGAAGAACCTTTTTTCCCAACAAAAAAACAGGGGTGTCCCATAAGTCTCCATTTCTGGAATTTTGGGAAATTTGAAAGCTGGGGGTATGGAGTGAAAATCTTGCCCAGCCTCTGTAGGGCACCCCTTTCAGTCTCACCCAAAGGCCCCCCCGATTCCACCCACCTTTGCGTTCATATAGAGATCTTCCTGGACATATGACAACTGGGATCAGAAATCCATTGCTAAGTCGAGGCGGTTATTAAGCGAATCCATCGACAACCTCTGGTTGCCATGGCTACGAAGTGCACCACCATCCCAGTCGTTTTAAGTGAATCACAGAGTCCTTAAACGAATCCACTGACTTTGTGTGAAGTTTCCGAAAGATGCCCTAATTAATTCATGAGCCATGAGCCGAACTTCAAAAGAAATACAGTCATTTATTAGGAGCACCATTTCGGCAATATTCGGATGCAGTTAGAACTAATCCCACGTAGATTTACGTTCCCCTATGACCCTGTCTCTCCCCTCCTCTCTGGCCATGTCATAAATCATATTCTCCAATTAACCACTTTGGCTGGCTGTGAAACCTAACACCCTCCTTCTGATTGCGGTCAGGAAGAATGTATGGAATGCACTTCAGTTAGGGAAATCAATCAGCTCTATCTGTTCTCCCTCCCTCCTGCTCATGGCAACTTGAAAGCTTTGCAAGTTGACACTTTGCTTTTGGGAAGGTCGCAAATGGGAGATGACAAATGGCTGCCTAGAGTCCAAATTTTGATCACGTGACCCCCCCAGGGACGCTACGGCCGGTCGTAAATGGGAGGACCATTTGCAAGTCCCTTTTTTCAGCGCTGTTGTAACTTCCAACAGTCACTACATAAATGGTTCCAAGTCAAGGACTATCTGTTTGTTGCTTAGGCCCCCCCGAGCTGTTGAAACGGAGCCCTTTCTGCCTTTAAAGTACAACTGATTTTACCAGGCCTGGATATTCTTCCTTACCCTTAAGACATTTTGATGGGAAAAAAATTAAACCTGTTTAAAATTCTCTCCAGTTCGCAGTTGCATCATCTAAGTGCATCAACAAGGACGAAGGACAATCCTGTAAACAGATTTTATTTACTGATATATCTCCCTCTAACTCACCCCAAATGTCCCCGAAATAAATCATCCTGTTCTCCTTCCAATTCTATTTTTTTAAAATAAAAAACAAAAAACTGTGAAATATATTGGCTTTTAAGCAGAACCACATGCCTCCAACAGAACAAATTACATATTTTCTCTTTGCACAGGCCAGAATTTTCCAGATTAACCCAAGGAGCAAACTTTTAAGCTCTATGGATTTCACTTGTAAGGTCCAGAAAAGGCTTTAGTTTTTTTTTTTAAAAAAAACTTCCCATTTAAAGTCACAGGGCTTCAAATTCGTGCTTTTTTCTATTGGCTGGGCCTGCAAACTCACTGCTCCACGCAAATCCCATCATCCTTCCTAAAGATTTCCAAGCTGGTATCCTTTCAGACTCCTTCAGATTGCTAATGCCAGGCGCGCTGAAGCTCATCGTGTGATTTTTGACCCGCTCAAAAGGAAAAAGAAAAAAGAACTCTTCGCATGCTCTATGGTAACCTCTCGACACCCTGCCACTTCCTTGCAGAGTCCTGGGGCATCACAACTGGTGTAACTATACCAGTAAGGTGTAACTATAACTCTGAGAGCAGGCTCTATCCACTGAGTAACCAGGGGGAAAAACCGTTAGCTCGTTAAAAATGCTAAAAAAAATTTCTTTTTTAAAAATAATAATAATAATAATTTTGGAGATAAATAATCCAGGAGGAATTGAAAAAGAGGGAACCCCTTCCTTTCCATCTTTTCCTTTCTCATCACATCTCTACTCCTTATACCAGTTCCATGGCTTTTAACCCCTTAATCCTCAAATTCCTGCCGGGATAAAACTGCATTACAGTTTTTCTCTTTTCAACGATTCGGAGAAGAAATCAAAACGCATTGTCCCATCGGAAGCATCCTGATTACTGCCCACCAAATTGCCACTCGCGTCGATGGCAGCTAAGAAGCCACCTCAAACCCACCCACCCCAAAAAATAACCTAGGCATAAAGCAATGGGAGACGAGGCCGGAGAGGATATAGCTTAAAAGGAGCCACAAATACGGGAGCCATCCGAGAGAATCAAGTCGCTAGTCCCTAAGGCGTGTGAAACACCCTTCTCGATCCCATCAGCGTTTTTTCCCTAGCATTTCAATTCCCTTTTGCCCCTCCATAAACACACACACACTCACTCACACACACACACACACACACACACACACACACACACAAAGGTACATTTTATTTGTTGGTTTTTATAGTTCCCAGAAAGAGCAGAGAAAATAGAGAGAGTATAATTGGCTCAAAGTCACCCAGAGATTTTCTCTGACAGTGGGGAGGATTGACTGTGATCTCCCAGCTGGAGTTCCACTCTGGAATCCAGATCTCAGCTAATTAATTATTATCTCGGAGGGATAACTGTTTCCAAAAAGAACACGAAGTGCAAGATCTGGTTTTTTTTTTTTCCCTTTCGCCCTTCTGCTTTGCACTTTCCCATCTGTGAAATGGGCGCAAAAGCGATTTGCCTTTTAGGATTGGCACAGGGCTGAGGATGACGACGATGAAAATGACGATGATGGGGGAGCTTGCAATTCTTCCCCACCCCCCAGTTTCTGAACCCTAAGAGTATTTCCTCTCACACACACACACCCCACAGGAGTTCTGCAGACACAGCCAGCAACCAACATTTGCACTGTAGCTATACAAGGCTATACAATTTGCATTGTGGCTATACTATGCAAAGACAAGCTCCACCAAAGGGGATTTTCCAATTTGGAGATTAGAAGAAAAGGGGGGGGGGAAAGAGAGAGAGAGAAGTCATCCCAAGCTGTTTTTTTTTTTTAAAAAAAAAAACCATCTCCCCAAATCTGGCACCTTCCCCATCCATCCCACACCAGAGAGGGAAATGCACTCTGTACATTCTCTACAGCACTGTGACACATTTCAGAAATAAGCTTGATATTCAGATGGGAGAATCAGGCTATCGGTGGGCAGGCGTTGGGTTGGGGCTTGGATAGTAGGTAGGAAAAAAAGGGGATCTTTGTAGCGGGTGGGGGGTGTGAGAGAGAGAGAAACTGAGACTTAGCTTAGGAGCTGAAAAGCTGTGCCTCCTCTGCAAACTTCGCCCCCCAAAAATTGGGGAGAGGGGTTTGGTAAGGCTACTATTTTGGAATGGGTAAGGGGAGATTCTGCCTTTTTTTAGGATTAAGAGCAATCCAGGGGAAACATTGGGTGTAAAATCATCTTCCCTTTGTCACTAGCTAGAGAAGGAAAGGACAGGAAAAAGGGAAGGGAAGGGAAGGGAAGGGAAGGGAAGGGAAGGGAAGGGAAGGGAAGGAAAGGAAAGGAAAGGAAAGGAAAGGAAAGGAAAGGAAAGGAAAGGAAAGGAAAGGAAAGGATGGATGAAGAGGAGAGGAAAGGAAAGGAATAGGAGGGGTGAAAGAGGAAAAAGGGGAGGGAAGGGGAAGGGAAGGGAAGAAGAAGGGAGGGAGGAGGAAAAGAAGAAGGAAAAAGAGAGGAAGGAAAGGGACAGAAAGGAAAGGGAAGGGGAAAGGAAAAGGAAAAGGAAGGAAAGAATGGAAATGGAGGAAGAAGGGAGGAAAGGAAGAAGGAAAAACAGAAAGAATGGGGAAAAGGAAGGGAAAGGAAAGGAAAGGAAAGGAAAGGAAAGGAAAGGAAAGGAAAGGAATAGAAGGGGTGAAAGAGGAAAAGGGGAGGGAAGGGGAAAGGAAGAAGAAGGAAGGGAGGGAGGAGAAAAGAAAGAAGGAAAAAGAGAGGAAGGAAGGACAGAAAGGCAAGGGAAGGGGAAAGGAAAGGAAAGAATGGAAATGGAGGAAGAAGGGAGGAAAGGAAGAAGGAAAAAGAGAAAGAATGGGAAAAAGGAAGGGAAGGGGAAGGAAAGGAATGGAAAGGATGGAAATGGAGGAAGAAGGGAGGAAAGGAAGAAGGAAAAAGAGAAAGAATGAGAAAAAGGAAGGGAAGGGGAAGGGGAGGAAAGGGGAGGGGAGGGGAAAGGAAAGGAAAGGAAAAGGAAAGGAAAGGAAAGAAAGAATGGAAATGGAGGCAGAAGGGAGGAAAGGAAAAAGGAAAAAGAGGAAGAATGGGAAAAAGGAAGGGAAGGGAAAGGAAAGACTCCCCTTGCTGCCCACCAGAAAGAGAGCCCAACCGTGCCAATCTCCCCTCCCCTTCAAGCCCCCTCCCCCCAAAAAAAACTAAGCCAGTTGCTCACCCTTCTCCATGCCAACCGGAGCCCAACGGCCTCACCCTCCGGTCCTTCACCTCTCGGCCATCTCTCTCTCTCTCCCTCTCTCTCTCCCTCTCTCCCTCCCTCTCTCCCCCCCCGAAAGACCCCCCTCCGGCGCCTGCTGCTTAACGGGCGAGGGCTCCGCGGCGTTCGCCCTTCGCTTAGCAAGGCGGACGGGCAGCGCGCTGTGTGTGTGCGTGCCTGCGCTTGTGTGTCCGTGTGGGTGAGTGTGTGTTTTAACAAGATTGTGTATTACAGCTCCGGGAGGGAGAAGAGAAGTCCTGCGGAAGTCAAGAGACCGCATCTCTCTCTCTCTCACTCTCCCCCAACCCAACCCCCCCACCCCGTTTTCTTGCACTTGGGTCTTACACACACGCATACACACACGTGTGCACGCGCATAGCGCACACCCAGACCCACATGTCCATCACACACACACACACACACACTGGCGGAATCGTTGATTTGATTTTATTGCACATTCCTAGGTTTCCCCCCCCCTCTCCCCTCCCTGCGCGCCCCCCACCCCACCCCCGCAAGGATTTTGATATCTCCGTTCGGATCAAAAGGAGCATCGCCTCCGGGTGGAAGCCAGCTTCCTCACTGCACAGCCCGGTCTGCCCTGTGTCCCCCACCCCTCCATCCCCCGCCGGCCCCCTCCCCAAACGCCACTTTACACCCCCCTTTTTTTTTAAGTTGCTTGCAGCCTCCCTTGCAGCCCGCCCCAACAAGAATCCCCCCAAAACCCCGGACACTCAAGAGGGGCAAAAAAAAAAAATACTTTTCATCCCCTGCCCCCCCCATCACCCCTGAATTTGGACCCTCTCTTTTTTTCCCCCTCCCTTCTCCTCTGCTCTCCTGTCGCGCCACCCCTTTCCCCAAGCCCCCTCCCCAAAATCAAGGCAGGTGCATGCCGGCTACACCTGCCGCGGGGGTGGGGGGGAGGGAGGGAAAAGGCGGCGGGGCTCTCGCTTACCTGGGAAGGTAAGAGATACTCCCCCTTTCCTCCCTGCCTGTTCACCCCCCGCCCCCCACACACACACACCTTTGCTCAACCCAGGCGCCGCATTGACACTGCAGATGGTGTCTCGGGTGTGGGTGCGCTCGCGTGTGTGTATGTGTGTAGTCAGAGTGCACACTGCGTGTGTGTGTGTATCCACACACACAAGCACAATGTAAAAGGCTTGTGTGTGTGAGTGTATAGATTGTGTGTGTGTGTTTGACACACGCGTGCACAGAGAGCGGGGGGGGGAGAGACGGAGTGTGGCAAGCCCCTGCACTCCGTCTCCTTCGCTCTCTGTGCACGCGTGTGTCAAACACACACACACACACAAACACACACACACACACACACACACACACACGCATTTATATATACACACACAAATGAATTAAATGAATTTTTCTTGCAGGCGGCCAAACACCACCACCCCAGAGATATTTTTTTTCTTTTTTAAAAAAATCATTCAGATGCTTTTTCTTTCTTTCTTTCTTTTTTTACCTTTGCTCCTGCAGCCGGATCCGTCAAGCTCGCTCGCAAGGAAGGTCCTGCTTTTTTTTTTTGGCAAGGAAAAGCGCCGCTTTTACGATCCCCTTCGCGGAGGCTGTTCGCAACACCTTTGGCAGGAAACCGCCAGCAGGTGACGGCCAGAGCCCGGTTGGCAGAAAGAGACGAGCCCCCCACACACACACACCGTCGCCCCCTACCCACAAAAAAATAAAGATAGCAAAAAAAAAGAAAAGAAAGAAAAAAGGGGGTGTGTGGAGGAAAAAAAGAGGTAGAGCCAGGAATCCTCGCCCGGAGACCGATCCGATCCGATCCGATCCTTCCTTCTTTCCTTCTTTTCTTCCTTCCTTCCTTCCTTCCCGATCGCTCGCTCGCTCGCTCAGCCCGGCCAGCCGGACGCTGGGGCTCGATCCGGCGGCGGCACGGCGCTGCTGCCCCCACGGCGACACACTCTCTCTCTCTCTCACTTGCCCATCTCCGCCGGGCTCGCTGCTACTCCTTCTCCTCCTCCTCCTCCTCCTCCTGCTTGCTTCGCCCGGGAAGGGAAGCCCCACTGCAGCGATCTACCGCCTGGCCAAACGGCTTTCAAGCGGCCGATCTCTCGCCCAGGCTAGCCATGGAGGGGGGGGGGGTGTGAGACCCCCACCCCGGCCCCACCCCGGCAAGTCCAGAAATCGGGGGTGGGGGGTGTTGCAACCGCTGCAAACCCCGCTGCAAAAATTAAAAATATAATAATAATAATGCAAGCAGCAAGCAAAACGCGATGGAGTTTTTTTCTCTCTCTCTCCTCTTTTTTTTTTCCTTCTCTCTCTCTCTCTCTCTCTCTTTTGCGCTTATGGGGAAGCAGGAAATATCCTTGGCAACCGGGGCGGGAAAAAGGGGGGAGAGAGAGAGAGAGAGAGAGAGAGAGACGGGCTGCTGGATTTCTTGCTGGCTTGCTTGGCGACCCGGAGCTCAAGGGGAGCTGGGTTGGGGTCGCTGCGGCTGATGCTGGAGCTTTGGCCGCCGGGGATGGCGGGCGCCTGGCCGATGCATGCCTTCCTCCTCCTCCTCCTCTTCCTCTTCTTCCTCCTCCTCCTCTTCCTCCTCTTCTTCCTCCTCCTCCTCCTCTTCCTCCTCTTCTTCTTCCTCCTCCTCCTCCTCTTCCTCTTCTTCCTCCTCCTCCTCTTCCTCCTCTTCTTCTACCTCCTCCTCCTCCTCTTCCTCGCGCTTGGACCTCCCTTAAGTCATGGGGCTCCCTTGCGTGGAAATGTCAAACAGGTCCTTAGGATAGGATGAGGCTGGTCGGGGCAACTCCCGTCTTGCGCAGCATCATCGCTGGACCACCAACCCTTCCTTGCCTTAAGGGTGCCCGACGCTCTCTCAAACCCACGGAAAGTTTGCCGGCATCCGAAACAGCGGCGAGGAAAGAGCCCTTGCCCCGCCGCAGCTTTTCCTCCTGCTGCTGCTGCTACTGCTGCCTGCCTGGCTGGCTGGCTGGCTCCGATCGTCAGCCGGTTTTCTCCAACCTGATTGGGCTAATTGCGAAATCGCCGCGCCGCCGAACGTGGTGGGGAGGAGGGACGTCGAGGGGGGGTGTGGGGAGGGAGGGAGTGGGGGGGGAGAGAGAGAGAGAGAGAGGGAGGGGGATGGAGGGAAGGGCAGCTGCTGTCACACAAACATACACACACACACACCTCTCTATCTTCTGCTCGTGGGAATCTCTTGTGCTGGGAGACTTCTATGGGGCAGGCAAGACGGGCAAAGCTGGAGTTGGCCAGGGTGATTTTTTTTAATGGTATTTTTATTGTTAAAGAATAACAGAAAAAAAAAACCAATACAAAAATCAATAATAAAGAAAGAAAATTTCCCCCCCCCCCAACGTGCTATACAAATGGAAAGGAAGTTTTAGGAAATTATAGTCTTCAATTCTTCCAAAAATCTCTTTGATAGGGTACTGGCGCCGATTCATCCAATCTCCCAAGTGCAAAGTCCACAAATGGTTGCCAGGGTGATTTTTTTTAAAAAAAAAAATTATTGATATTAATATGGATTACTGATATTAATAAAGAGGGATGCGGTGGCTCAGGGGCTAAGACGCTGAGCTTGTCGACCCAAAGGTCGGCAGTTTCAGCGGTTCGAATCCCTAGCGCCGCGTAAACGGGGTGAGCTCCCGTGACTTGTCCCAGCTTCTGCCAACCTAGCAGTTCGAAAGCATGTAAAAAATGCAAGTAGAAAAAATAGGGACCCCCTCTGGTGGGAAGGGAACAGCATTCCATGCGCCTTTGGCGTTGAGTCATGCCGGGCACATGACCACGGAGACGTCTTCGGACAGCGCTGGCTCGTCGGCTTTGAAACAGAGATGAGCACCGCCCCCTAGAGTCGGGAACGACTAGCACAGATGTGCAAGGGGAACCTTTACCTTTACCTTTACTGATATTAATATGGATCAATAATATTATTTATTAGATTTATATCTTGCCTTTCTTGCTTTGTAAGTAACTCCAAAGGGGTGAACATAGATAGTGCTCCTTCCTCCTCCTCTTTGGCCCACAACAATTCTGGGGTGGTGGGTTGGGGCGGTGAGAGAAGGGGACAAAGTCAAAGTCAAAGTCACTCAAATGGATTGCATGCCTAAACCTGGACTAGAACTCACAACGCACTGAAAAAAAATGACTTTTATGATTTTCATGCCAAAGGCAGGACTAGAACTCACAGTCTCCTAGTGATTGGCTCAAAGTTCCCCCAGCCGGTTTTCATGCCTAATGTGTGACTAGAACTCACCATCTCCCTGTGATTGGCCCAGTCTCCCAGTTGGCTTTCATGCCTAAACTGGAACTGGAACTCACCATCTTCTGGGTGTTTGGCCTAAAGTCACTCAGCTGCCTTTCATGCCTAAGGCAAAACTAGAATTCACAGTCTCCTGGTGATTGGCTCAAAGTTCCCCCACAGCCAGGTTTCATGCCTAAGGTGGGACTAGAATTCACCATCTCCTGGTTTCTAGGCCAGCAGCTTAACTACTAGGCCAAATTGGCTCTCATTACATCTTATCTCAGGTTAAACCACAGACAGGTGAATCTATTTGGGGTGACTTGGGGTGGCTTTCTGAAATTGGCCCAGGAGGTGGCGCCTATTCTTGGGCCAATATGGAGTTGCGATAGCTTTCTGGTCACTTCCTTTGTGGTTGATCTGCCTTCTTGGAAATCCTTAAGTGTTTTGATCTAGGCTTCCTTAAGAAAGTATACAGCACGATCTTCGTCCTGGCAAACCTCTTTTATTCATACGGCTGTGAATTATTGTCATTCCCAGTCCGAAAGGCTTCTCAAACAGTCTTTCAGGGAGTGTTTACAAACACCCACCTTATCTCCCTTGGAACTCTTCCAAAGAGCTAATTGCCAGGCTCAGGACAAGGCCAAACTTAGCACAGAGTCACAAACAGAACTTTTCCAAAGCTTTAACTGACCAGATGAACTAATTGCTTCCTGCAAAGGCTCCCGTCCCGTTCACTCCTCTTTTATGTCTTATGGGAGGGGCCAATCATCTCCAAGCCTTACTCCCAAGTCGACCCTGTTTTCTTAATTGTTCTTGTCTTTTGGCAGCTCTACGTATGCGCACACTGGGAACAGGCTCACGCTGTTCTTCTGCCTTGCTGATGTCAGACTCCAGAGACTCCGGAGGCAGCAAAGAACTACCAGATGGCTTTGGCCCCCTCTCTGCCTCCGACTCAGAGCCATCGTCTGAGCCTTCCCCAGACTCCAGGACTGGCCCACGTTCCTCCCCAACCTCCTCACTGTCCGAATCTGCTGCCAGCTCTGCTGGCCACTGGCAGGCCACAACACTAAGACCCAGAATCTCCTGGTGGCCTCCCTACCTCCCTTTTTAAAATCATGACAACTTAACTTTGGCTAAGCTGGTTAGTCCACCGGTCTGATTCATTCAATAAATTGAGACTGGGGGGTGGGTATTTTGGAAACCAGCCAGGGAGTTAATTTCATAAGTAGGAGAAGAGGAATGTGTGGATGCACCTTCACGCAACACATTGCATCCAAAACTGAGGTGAAGAAAGCAACAGCTTTGCAATTACAGACAGTCTTCCACTTACAACCATTCGTTTAGTGACTGTTTGGAGTTACGACAGCACTGGAAAAACTGACTTATGACACTTTTTCACACGTACGTTCGTTGCTGCATCCCCCATGGTCAAAATTCGGATTCTTGGCAACTGATTCGCATTTATAACGGTTTCTGACCAACAAAGTCAACGGGGAAATCCAGATTCACTTAACAACGGAGCCACTAACAACGGCAATGGTTCACTTAACAACCGTGGCCAAAAAAAAAAGGTGGTAAAATGGGGTGAAATTCACTTAACAACTGTCTCACTGTGCAACATAAATTCGGGGCTCAGTCATGGTCATAAGTTGAGGACCACCTGCACTTTGGATGCCTGAGAAGTTCAACCCTCCTTAAAATAAAAATTTCGAGAGTCGTCATTTGGGTGTTGGCGTGCTCGCGCCTGCGACTTTACTGGATAAATAGCAACGAAGGAGGAGAAAATGACACGGGTGTCAAACCAAGCTAAAATGAGGATTTTGAAGGAATATCTTTGCCCTTTCAAATCCTGGCCTCTCCAGACACTTAATTTCAGGACAAAATTCATTCTTATTTTTTAATTTGATTTGTTTAAAACAGCATTTCTCACTCTTGGCAACTTGAAGATGCGTGGACTTCAGCTCCCAGAATTCCCCAGCCAGCATGTGCAAGTGGCAAGAAAGGCCATAAAATGGGGCAGAACTCACTGAACAAATGTTTCACTTAACAACGTCAGTTTTGGGCTCCATTGTGGTCATAACACAAGGACTGCCTGTATTTTGTCTCTTTTTTTTAAAAAAAAAATTGCTATTCAGCTTTACCTTCTGGGGAAGGAGAACTCAAAAATATAATTTGGATAATTTGGATCTCCTGGCCTTTTCAGTGCCAAATGCTAGTGATTCCTCTTTTTTTTAGATGGCCCAAATATCTCAGATTTCATTTGCTTGGAAGGGTTGCTCTGGGAAAAGAGATACGATGCTGGGGATTCCAAGTCCTTGGCTGGCTGAGATGAAGCGTCCATTGACTCAAGCTTGACCTTGAAAATGGACATCTAGAAGGACAGCAAGAGATGAAACGTGGGAATGTATATCTATCTACCTACCTACCTATCTATCTATCTATCTATCAATCAATCAATCATTTATCTATATCTATCTATCTATCTATCTATCTATCTATCTATCTATCTATCAATCAATCAATCATTTATCTATATCTATCTATCTATCTATCTATCTATCAATCAATCAATCATTTATCTATATCTATCTATCTATCATCTATCTATCTAAATATATCTATCTATCCATCCATCTATATCTATCTATCTATCATCTATCTATCATCTATATCATCTATTTTATCTATCTTATCTATCTATCTATCTATCTATCTATCAGCTAT